TTAACTTCAAGAGAAATTTGAACTTGGAAAGAATAACAGCAGTCCACCTCTATAGCAATTACATGTCTTAGTGGGCAGGACTTAGAACTCCTGAGTGGAGTCCTGGTTCTGTTCTCAGAGATTAACATCCTGTTCCTTGAGCACCTGTGCCCAAATACTCCTTCTCCATTAGACTGTTAGAGAGAGTGAGCATTTGAGAGAAAGTCTACCCAGAGAATTACACCATTTTTTTAAGTTAGGCACCATGAAGTGTCTTCACAACTCAGTCAGCTGGGTTTGTAGGTTGAACTCAGTCAACCTACAAACATAACAGGGCCTGCAATTTGAAAAATGCCACGGTAGAGTAAGCACCCAGGAGAGTTAATGATCTTTAGGTTTCACGGTTTCAACCTTACCAGATCAGCCACACTGTTCTCCACGCTGGTGTTATATAAATATTCTCAGCGCTCCAGAGCCATCGACACTTTGTACCTTCCACTGGCATAGTCTTTGAATCTCATGAGTGTCAAGTGCTGTCTCATTTCCATGTAAGTGAGCATTTTACTGAGCACTGATGAAGCTTGCATTCCTTTTCATATCTGTCCATCATTTGAATCCCCCTCAGGGAACTACTTGTATTCTTCATCCTGTATTCTACGGGCTTGCTTGCCTTTTTCTTACTGAATTTTAGTAATTCATGATCTATTTTACATAGTAATACACTGATATATGAATTGCATGCATATCATCTTACTTGAGACTCAAACTTTCATTTTTATATCAAGATGTTTTTAAGCTATTAAACATTAACTCTTTCACTAAATCTTAAATCTTTTCCTTATCCTTACTTTTTATTTTTTACTTTGAAGAGAGTATAAAAACAATAGTTGAGACATTAGAGATGATACACATTTAAAAGAACCTGAAAGGTATGCAACCATGATTGTTATATTGTACATTGCTGTCCTCAATGAAGTTGCTCATATTACAGAAATTAGCATATAGAGTTGATCAAAGTAAAAACTTTTAGACATTAGCTGCTACCTTGTTAAACTAATAGAACTTAATAGTACAATCATCTCTGTTATCCTGTGTATATACTTACATTGGATGGCTGAAGGAGAATCGCTATGAGTTAGATCTATGAAGTGAGACCCTGTAGACCCTGTAGGCCCTCCCCTAAATACATTTTTAAAATATATATGTTTGTTTATTTTTCAGAGACAACTCTTTTTGACAATCTTTTTGACTTTGTTTGGTTTTGCAACTTTTGAGTCCATTTTGGTTATTTATATGCTAAACGACACTTTTGCTGTTGTCTTGGATTTTCAGCAGAGCGCTCTAAGATGAGGAAACACGGGACAAAGCAGGAGATTGCAAAATCTGTTGTGAAACCTCTATTCTTTGTAGACCTCAGGGTTTGTAAGCGGAGGTGAGGACATTGCTTAGAAGAGGTCAGCTGTGAGGAAAGAGGTATTGGGAACCAGAGTTGATGTGCTGTCTGCTTCCTAGACAGGGCAAAGGGAAGCTTCTCTCTTCTTTCACCTCAGACCATTAGGCGGTTATTGTGAGCCCCTTGGCCTTTGGACAATATAGCAGAGAGCCCTGTTAGAGCCACCAAATGACAGAAAGTAGGATTCCTAGGAAAAGGCAGTGCCTCTGGAGTGGTGGGAGCCAGGACATCCTCAGAGAAAAAGTTTTCATATTGGCTCTTCTTAGAAAGATCTGGGAATTGTGGTGTCACTATATCTCTCTCTATATATATGAAATTTTTATGTTGTTAATCTTGACTGTAACCAGTCTCTAGCAAATATTTTAAAATAAAAAAGGAAAATAGCAGTAAGACTACATAAAAAGAACCGTAAGATCTGCCTTCAACATTAGCTATTAAGAAAAAGCTATTTTAGATACTGTGCTGACTGAGCAGAACATATTCACTACTCAGATTCAGAGTATTTTTGTGGACAGACATTTAAATTTCCAAGTGTTTTGACAGATGTGCAGAATATTTTCTTTTCAGATTAAACAAAATCTCTGTGCTGGTACTTACATTCTTTGCTTGTTCCCACTGTCATTTACTTGTACGTATTTTTTTATTCTTGATTATATTATCTGTTTTAGAGTTTTTCAAAGGATAAGCTTTTGAATGTGTTGGTCAAATCTACATTTTTGTTTGCTTTTTTACTTCATTAAATGTTTATACTTTTTGATTCCTTTCTTTGGGATTATTTAATAAGATTATTTCTGCTATTTTCTCGAGAATTTATTTTGCCTTCTTTACTCAGTTGTTTTGCTTGTCTCATTTTGTTTTTATTCTTTCTAATATTTATTTTCAAGGCTCTACTTTCATTTGAATAGTATTTTAGTCCTTATTTAAAGGTTTTTGACCAAAAGTTATATTTTTCATTTATAGTTCCCAAATTATTTTGATAAGGCAGTGATATTCAGAGTGCTAAGACACATGCCTCAGATGAAAGAATTTTTAAAGCTAATTTTATATAGTTTCTATTTAAGGTCATTTAAATAACCAGATATTCCCTGTTCTGATTCTCCACTATCTGTAGGCTTCACCAGGCAGGCTTCAGAGGTCTGGACAGTGAAGCGGCTCTCATTTTTAGTTGTAGGAGGGACATGAATAAAAAAACCAGGCAATTTCACAGACAAGCCCTGTGGACACAGGCTGCTCAATGTACCCAGAGCTCACTGTCAGTGATAATGTTTCATTCATAACTAAATTTTTTTTACTAACAGAACTGAAAGGTTTCACTGACTTTAAAAAAAAAAAGAAAGGATACTTCATGTCAGCAAAAGTAAACACTCACAATTTAGAGCAAGCTACAGTAATTCTGCAGTACAACTCATATTTTCATCTCCTCCCTTACTATAATGTATATAAATTTCTTCTTGGAAAAGAGATGGCCCCAATTTGGAAGATCGATGTTCCCCTCCATGACAGTTTAGGTCATTTACCTTCTTTTCCCACATGAAGGAAGTCTTATGGCTTGGCAAGTTAGCAAGAAGCCCTACCTTTTTCTTATTTTGTACTTTAGGGAAGGGTCTACAGGGTGTTCAGGATCTCACTACTAGATCAGACTCGTAGTGATCCACCTGTTTACAGCCTCCCAAGAGCTGGGATTACAGGTGCACACCACCATGCCCAGTCTTAATTGTCTGTCTCAGCGTGCCCCAGGGACAGGGCTGGCATGGCCAGGGGATCCCAGCTCTTTTGCCTGTTTGCAGGAGCTTTACTCTGCTGAGCTATTTGGCCAGCCCTAAAAGCTGCACTTTTAGAATGGTAGGACTTCCAAAATTAGTTAATAAAAATCTCCTAGAGGATTAACAGTATAGAAAAAAAAAAAAAGGTAAATCACTGAGAGAAGTTACAACTTGAATATATGATTGGAAGAAAAATACTGATTTGATACTTTTATTGCTACAGCAAACTGAGCCCAGGAAAGGAACGCCACCTGCGGAAGTCTGGATGCAGTGAACAGCTTCATTTTATACCATTGGTCCTGGCAGGGTTGCTCTCCATCAACAAAACCAGGCAGTGAGTGCCTGTGGGCTTGTATTTTTATGTGATGCATAAACAAGCAGTACAGAGGCGAGACAGAGCACCCTGGCAGTGTGCTGACCAGCTCGCAGGAGAGATCGTGGGTCACAGCACTGGATAATGATTGGTTACAAGACTACATTGATGATCACAGAGTTTATTACAGCTGTTTGGTTACACTCTTATGGTAACTGGGATCAAAACTAATTACTGAGCCGTGAAGCAGTTACAGAACTAGGCAGTTTCAAAGGGAGCAAAGTTTTAAGAAGAACAGTATTGTTTCTTTTTTCTTGTGCAGGGTTTCACTACGCAGCTTGGACTCATAGTGATCCTCCTGTTTGCAGCCTCCCTAGTGCTGGGATTACAGGCATGCAGTACCATGCCCAGACTCCATCGCTGGCTGGCTCAGTGTGCCTGGGGGCAGGGCCAGTGCAGCATATGGTACCAGGAATCAAACCCTGGCCCCTGCGCTTACAAAAGCAAGTGCTTAGTCTGCTGAGTATCTCCCTGGTCCTAAAAAGAACAATTTTTCTTGTATAGATTTTCCCTTTCAATGTGGTTGTGGGAATAACCTTGGCAGATCTTAGATCTGCATATACCGTGGGTTTCTAATACCAGACTCTAGAACTAATGTGCATTGTTGGTCTCTAAACTTTCCTGCTCTAATCAATTCTGCTGACTACATGACATGCATGATTACCGTACCCTGACTACTATTCAGCTTGTCTGAAAATGTATCACTTTTGCCCTTGGTTGTACCTACCCTGCAAGGTTACTGATTGGGTCTGAGTACTACTTTGAATAAGCTATCTTACACAACAGTGGTTAATTATTGATGACCCTCGCACCGCTGTACACTGCCCCAAGACTTCCACCACCACCCCAGCCTGATGCCTGGTCCTGCAGCCAGATCATCCCCAGCTTTTGTTTGCTTGTTTCATTTTACTTTGTTCTGTGAGACAAATTCTTGCTCACTGGCCCAGCAGAGTCTGCTGTTTCAGCTATGCCTTCTCTTTCCTGTTTTGCCTGTTTCTTTAGTCCATTGAATTTTTATTGATTGTTCACCTGAAAGAAATTTCTCCATATTGTGTTCTGTTGTACAGCACAAGTACAAAGTGGAAAAAAACCAAGGCCTGTCATTTGACTATTATCAGTAATATTTAGTGAGTATTTTGCCTTGCTGATAGAAACAGTGAATTCTTGAATATTACAGAATGTTTCCTGGTACACTTTCTCATGCTGCCCACAGTCAGAGGGACATTGTTTCAAAGTCTGTTGTGCAGATTTTAAAAAACACTTTTTTGCAAAATGAGTTTGATTTTACATTTTGGTGCTGAGAATTGAACCCAGAGCCTGATGCATGCTAAGCATGTGTACTACCACTGATCTGTTCACCCAGCCTCTGGCTATTTTAAAGTTTTAGTATTTAGAGTCATAAACTCTAAGTGGTTCCTTACATTCAGGCTACTACTTAAAACAAAGTGATACACAGTTCTTCAGTAGAAGGCTTTATCAAATGGCTACCAGTCATGCCACCATGGTAAACATACTAGGAAAGAAAAATCAAAGTTAAGGATCAACTCAAAATGATTACAAGATCTTAAACTACATTTGTCATGTATCCTTTCATCTATATACTCCCTATTTTTCAGCATTAAATCTCCAATTTATGGTTTAGTGAAATTTCCTTCTGAAGTTAATCTAAGTGATTTGAAACTTCTGGGAAGGCTTTATAATAGAAGAGGACCAACGTCCTTTTACCCATCCACATTTGCGCTTCCTGTTCTCTGGAGTGTGGGTCTGGTCACTGCAGCAGAATAGGAGTCTCTGCATCGTGAGAGATAATTTTACTTCTGGGATTTGTTGGTGTGGAAAAATAGCCTACCTTCTTTACACCACTTCACTTTAAGTTTCTGTTTCTGCTGGACAAAATCCCAATTCAACCAAATACGTTTTTCCTTTGCTTGTAGAGAAAAAAGAAAAAGTTTTACAAATATGGAAAGAGGACAAGAGAATTTGGGAAACTTCTTTTTTCTTAGAGACAATCCAAAATGGTGTTAGGATTCTAGCCAGGGTGTTGTCTCTAAAGTATTTCAGGGAACAAAACAGCCTGTTCTGCTAGCACATGGCTTTCAGTAACATGAAATAACACGAAATTGATAAATGCAGAAATGATTGCAGGGTGACAGTGTACCAGTTGCTTTGGTTCATTTTCATGTGATTTTCTCAGTATGTCATTTCCATGAAATCAGGGGCAAATGTTTTCCACAATTAAAAATCAAACCTTAGCAATATAAAAACATTTTCTAAAAAGTCACTGCAATGCAACTTCCTTTAGTGGAAGAAAAAGCTGAGTTAGTGGTTTCAGGGACTGCTTTCTTTCCAGAATGTTAAGCTATCTGGTAAAGGGTTTTGAAGATGGGTAAGGAAACTGCCAAAAGCAAAAAAGGAAGGGAAGGAGGGAGGAGAGGAAAGAAGGCAGAAAGAAAAGAAAAATCATATCTATATATCTCCCTGAATTTTGGTAAAATTGGTCTCGTGAAAGCAGTCCTCTATACATCTCAAAAGAGAACACACAAACCCCGCTCGTGTGCCCGTCATGGAGTGGGTTGGCAGTGTGAGCTGACTGACTGAGCCAATACTTTTTTCAATAGATGTTTTTTGCTTGGCTTGGTGCTTCTATTATAAAATGGAGCAGTGGGTCCTTCCTAACCACATTTAAGTCATATTCCCTGATATAGATAGCACATGCTTTTGTAAAATGCAAAACTTTATGTGAATGTACATGAGATTTTAAAGAAATGGTTTTATGTAAATGCAAAAATAGTTTCAAAACAAACTATAGCTGATAAAATATTTACCTCCCCACATTTTAAAACCAAGTCTTCACTCAAGGTTGACTTTCAACCTGTTTTATCCCAGTTTATTTTATTTAGCATCTAGAATTAAATCTTGGAAAACGCTAAGCCTTAAACTTCTATGTAAGGCTCCCTTTCACAGGATGTTACCAGAGGATGGGATTTTCCAAAATGACAGAGTGAATGAGAGGCTTCAGGAATCTGTGACTCTGCAGAGGACAGCCATGGAGAAAAGTTCAGGCTAGTAGGGACCCGAGTCCCAGAAAGGATCTGGGTTGCCAAATAAGAGCAGATTTGTGGGACTGGGTTCAAACTGGGTCCTAGTGAAAATGGAATCTAGAACTGAAGAAGCATCGTGGTTCCTCCTTAGCCGCAGAGTTATGTTCTAGGATCCCGGGGGATGTCTGAAACCATGGTTCACACTGAACTCCATGTGTGTGGGAACTGGTCATGTGGAGCAAGGGTTGGTTGCTCTTTCTTGCAGACTCGAAGCCAGGAGTATCAAACTATTCCCCTTGAGGCAATGTGACTGGCAAGTTGAAAGCTCCAGAGAAGAAGTCAACAACAGCTGAGATCTGTTTAGATCTCAAAATAATATTTCTCAAAATCTGTTTAGATCTCAAAATATTATTTCTCAAAATAATGAGAAACAGATGAGTTTTCCACTGGCCTAATTGCTTGAGGAAAGTGAAAAGGGCGCCATGGTCCAGCTTTAGAGCACTAGAAAGGACTGTTTGAGCACAGCCATGCAGCACCCTGACAGCAGATCTGACCATGAGAAGCTCTCGGGCACCCAGCAAGCGTGTGACACGCACGCCACACTCACACTGGAAAAGGTGATGGTCCACATCCCTGGCAGGACAGAATGAGAGAGTGCCTGTGGTGTGAGACTTTGTCTCATACTCAGAGTAGCAATTTAAAATGTATAACTGAGGGCTGGGGAGTTGGCTTAGTGGAATAAACACTTCCCTGGCAAGCACAAAGGGCCTGAGTTCAATCCCTGGTTCCAGAAAAAAATAAAAAATAAAAATAAAATAAAATAAAATGTATAACTGTTTCTGGAAATTTCTATGAATATTTTTGGACTGCAGTTGGTCATAGATAACTGAAACTGCAGGGTGCAGAACTATGGAAAGGAAGAAACTCCTATATTTTGTAAGTCTGAGCTGTTGCAAGGTGACATCCAAAGTTGCTTTGTAGATCTGCTGGGGACAATGAAAGGAATTATACGTGAGAACTGGAAGAGTATGGTCTACTTTGATTTGTGACTAAGACATTTGGCAGTGCTTACATCTCCCACCATGGAGAACATAAGTCTTATACCAGCTCTTAGGACAATAATAACAATGAATGATGGGGCTGGGGAGATGGCTCAGTGGAATAAGCGCTTCCCTGGCAAGCGCAAGGGCCTGAGTTCAATCCCTGGTTCTGCAAAAAAAAAAAAAAAAAAAAAAAAAAGAATGACATCCTATTGCTTCTTGCAGGTCCCCATAACAACTCTTCTTTCAGCACACTGAAAGTTTATTTTTGCTTTATACATTCAAAAATCTGAATCATGCATTTAACCCTAAATTCAACCTCATGCCAGTGTTGCAAATGAAGTATTAAATGCAAGCTCTGAATTGCTTTAGATTTACTTTTGTTTAAAAAAATACAAAACTCTTAAAAGTACTGACAGCACGTAAGAAAACACCAGATCTAAAATGTTAAGGCGCAAACTTTGTAATCGTGGGGTCTGTTGTTCTTCCCCAGTACCTGCAGCGCAAGACAGGACAGGGCATTCCACTGCAAGCAGAAGTAAAAGCTGCAAACTGAACTTGCACGAACTGCTGAAAAGGGCATTAAGATCTGGGCTGAAAACTTTGAACCAGTGGCTTATACAATTTTACTCCTTCAAGAGAGTGAATCCAATGGCTGGACTCTCCTCAGCCTTTAAAATGCAGCGCCCTGCCCCTCCGCCTGCACCCCGGTCCCTAGAAGAGCTGAACTCACCATAGCTGGCTTGGTGCTGTCCTTGTGCCCGGGGAAACAAAGGGGATTTCCAGCCATTGTCCTCCGGGTGCTAGATATCACCAGTGCTAACAATTTTATGTATTTATTTATTTAATGTATTTAGTACAGGGTCTCACTGTGTAGATCGGACTCAGTGATTCTCCGGTTTTCAGCCTCCCAAACACTTGGATTACAGGTGTGCCACCACGCCCAGTCTCATTGGCCCGTCTCAGTGCGCCCCAGGGGTGGGATGGGGTGGCACAGCAGGCCGGAGATTAAACCCCAGTCCCCATGTCTGCCTAAACAGGTACTTTAATCCACTGAGCTATCTGGCCAGCCCTATAATTCTATACTTTTAATAGGAGACTTACACTAAATATACACAATGCATCCTGCTTTCGTGCCAGTGGCTTGCATCTGGGGATATCTACCTCCCGGCAGCATTTCCAGGACCCTACATCTGCACCTCTCTCCCAGGTGGGACCCAGTTACAGCCTGAGATTACCTGCGCTGCTACCCTGCATGTCCTTTGGCTTTAAACTATCTCAAAGCAGTTCTTCCCAGCTTGTACGCCTGGAAGTTTCCTCTACTGTTTTCTTTCTTTCTTTTTTTTTTTTTTTAATGGAATAAGGATTTTGTTGTTGTTGTTGTTGTTGTTGTTGCTCTGAATGCCTTCAGGGCAGGTTTGGCTGGCTTGAGTTGTGGGGATCAAACCACAACAACCTGAGCCTGACTGCTTTGTTGAAGCAGGCACTTACAGAACAGAGCTAAGGGGCAGCCCCCACCTCTACTTGTTTTCTACACCCTATATACAGAGGCTTCCTAACCCCAGTAACCAGGGTTGTGCTTTCATAGGATCAATTACTGGGAAGAGTTCAATCCTCAGAGAAAACTGAGATTCCTTCACTAAGTGTGGGCTGAAATAGGGAAGTCCCTTCTCTGTGTGGCTCACGTTTATTGACTACAATTACACTAACAACTTTCTCATCTAGCAGTCCTGAGTTAACTCATCCAGTAATCATTTTGGAGATAATTTCCATGACAACAAGGATCCATAATTTAAGTTAAACATGTGACCGAGTACTATTAATGTAACCAAGGTGCCTATCAGCTGAAGGATCACTTGGAGCTGAAGGTCACACATGAGCAGGCACAAAACAGTTTCAACTTATTTATCACGATGACCACAGAGACCTTAAGTTCTGAATTGGTATGCTGTGAAAAACAACACAGTGCTTAGAAACAAGAAAATAGGGGAGAACTGGGGAGATGGCTCAGTGGAATAAGCGCTTCCCTGGCAAGTGCAAGGGCCTGAGTTCAATCCCCAGTTCCACAAAAAAAAAAAAAAAGGAAAAAAAAAAAAAAAAGAGGGGAATTCTAGGATCATGTCTTTTCAGTGCCTCAGGAAATATGGTGGGATCAAAAATTACTTAAAGTATAGTGAGCCAAAGCTCTCAAGAAGTTCTTACCAGATGAAGCAATGGTTACTACTTAAGAAACAACAGAAAGGGCCAAGGAGACAGCTCAGTGGCATAAGTGCCTGCCAAGGAAGCACAAGGTCCCAAGTTCAAGCCTGAGCAAAACCCACATTTTATTTTATTTTATTTTATTTCATTTTATTTTGCAGAATTAGGGATTGAACTCAGGCCTTTGCACTTGCCACACAAGCGTGTATTCTACTGAGCTATCTCCCCAGCCCCTACCCACTTCTGATCATATATAAAATTATACAGTACAGATCATTACAGGAGCTGAAGAACAAGCAAGAGCCAAAGGGGGAATTAATGCTGTTGCCCAAATGAATGAAATAATATGAACTTTTTTCTTTATGCATATGGTTGAGAAATGATCCATTCTCCTAGTTGTGTAAATACATCCAATACAGTTGATTCTGAACATCAAGAACACTTTCGGTTATGTATACTTTGGAACGGAGCATTCGCCATATCTTTAAGAGTGTGCATATTCATAACTAGAGGTAAATCCCAAAGTTAATTCCATAGTTAAAAGCTAGAGCAAGTTTTAGCACACTGAAAGAATACTGCCTGCGAGGGAGAGAAACACCAGCCAATGCAGGAGGGTGCCCAGAGCACTGCCAGCATCAATGTGACAGAACCCTGCAGAGTGTGGGTGCAGAGCACCCCCAGCATCAGCGCGCCCATGCCCTGTAAGTGCGGGTGCAGGACACCCCAGCATCAGCGTACCTGTACCCTGCTCATGCAGATTTGTTCATAGATGATAGATTTTAGCCCGTTAGCAGGACTCACATGCTCCTAAATAATCCAAATATTACTAAAATTTATACTAAGTGGTCACAGAAGATGATAGATATTGTTCCTATATACATCTCATGTAGAAAGAGCTATATTTTTGCCAACATGTGCTTCAAACTATTATAGTACTTTATTGATCATCTGTTTCTGTCTTCTATTATCAGAATCTTGTACCAAGTGGGTTAATGTATTTTTCACTTTCTCCTTAAGCACTATTTAAGAAAGTAACAAATAGAACCTCGAAACAAATAAATAGCACTGTCAATAATTGAGAGTCTGTTTTTAAAAAAGTCACAGGTCACTTTAACTTTCCTTTAAAATTATATATATAAATTATATAATATATATATATTATATATATATTATATATATATATATATATATATATATATATATATATATATATATATATATATATATAGTGGAGGGAAGCTTTTCTAAGATAGTAAAATTTGTTTTAATTCTTTATGAAAGCAGAATTCAGCACACACCTTGAAAAGATGAGCTAAATTCCATACTGTAAGGTAACATATTCAGAAGTTATGTTAAACTTATCAGTAAGTCAACTAATAATATTTTACCCCCTATAAAAGATGTGATGGTTCAAATATTTTACAAATTATGTCCTGGGCATGATGATGCATGTGTGTAAATCCCAGCACTCAGGAGGCGGAGGCAGGGGGAGAGCCTGCGCTCCGGGCCAGCCTGGGCTACACAGGGAAGTCAAGGCCAACACAAGCTCTATAGCCAGACCTTGTTTCAAAAAAAAAGTTTAACCTACTGTTATGTTAATCAACAATAATTTTAACACATACAATATGCATAGGTTATGACTGTGATGGAACCTTCAATATAGGTGATCTTTTCACTCTAGCAAAATAATCCAGAAAGGAAGTTTCAAAATAACCTTATTCCTTGTGTGGTGGTAAAGGCCTGAAATCCTAGCTACTCAGAAGATAGGAAAGGAGAACACAAGTTCAAGCCTCGCCTGGGAAACTTAGAAGGGCCTTGTCTCGAAATGAAAGAAAAAAAGGAAAGAAGGAAGGAAGGAGGGAAAGAAGGAAAGAAGGAAAGAAGGAAGGGAGGAAGGAAGG